AGCACATTATTAAAGTGGTGAGATATTGGACAGTCTAAGATGCAAAGGGATCTTGTTGTCCTGGTGCATAAATTCCAAAAGGTTAATATGCAAATACAGCAAATAATTAGAAAAAGCCAAAAGAATGTCATCACTTAGTGTGAGGGAAATTGAATATAAAAGCAAAAGTGTTCTGTTTCAGTTATTTAGGGCATTGGTGGGACCACACTTGGAATACTGCATACAGAATTAGTCTGATTATTTAAGGAAGGATATAAATCTCTTAGAACCAGTTCAAAGAAGGCTTACTAGACTAATACCTGAATTGGGTAAGTTGTCTTTAGAGGGAAGGCTTATATTAGTTGGAGTTTAAAAGACTTGATTGAAATATGTAAGATCCTGACGTGGCTTGTCAGGATCATATGGAGAAGATGATTCCTCTTCTGGGAGAAATTACAACTCAGGTTCACAGTTTAAAAATAAGTGGCTACCCATTTAAAACAGAGATAAGTATTTTTTTTCTGAAGGGAGGGTTGGAAGTCTTGGATCTCTGTTCTTGAAAAAACATTGGAAGCAGAGTCTTTAAGTATTTTTAAGACAGAGGCGAATGGATTATTGATAAACAAGGACATGAAGGGTTATCAGGAATAGGCAGAATTGTGAATATGAGGTTATCACTAGATCTTATTAAATTGTGGACCAGACTTGATGGATTGACTAACCTAGATCTGTTCCTTGTTTGTATGAGGCAGAATATTTTGGGTTTCAATTGTTATTCAGGATTTGACGTCGCAGAAGAAGAATTCATGAAGTGGCCAGACAGGTTGATTGTCAACCTGCAAATCCTGCTAATCTGCCCATGGCAGATCGTAAGAATCGGAGGGTCTCTTGATCAACCAGGCTTGATGTGGAGTAATGTTCATCAACATCACCTCCAGCAACTTGCTAGCAACCTGAACTAGGAAAAATAAGTGATGGAAACAAATGCAAGAACATCTTTGTCTGCCTCACATACCACAAGGCACAGGAGAGAAGGAAGGAATGGTTCATTGCTAAATGTCTGCCACTTTTCAAATATTTGGCTGTGTCCTGCTAAATTTTAATGGATTGTATGAAGCATACCATTTTACAAGATGAAAAATCATCATAATATGCAATAAGAAGGACAACTCATTCCATCATTTCGCATTCGAGCAAGAACTATGCTGTGTGAAAACTTTATCCCATCCCTATTAGGATGTGTTATTTGTAAGACAATTTGGTACTTGGAACATATGTTTGCATTTCAGTTTTCATTTGCACATTCTTCACAGTTGACGTTTTAATTTTACGCTTGAATTGATGAACTAAACGAACAAAATACTGAAAAAAAACAATCAAACTTTTGGAAATGTTAAATATGTTTACCAGAGACAATGATTAAAGGGCTTCCCTCACCATTTCTTTCTTGATCTTCTCATAATCTGGAATCAGGAGATTAGATAAAGGATCTGTTTCTAGACTACCATCATTGACCACTAGGGTATAGGTACGGAGGACTCCCCATCCAGTGTTCCCTGTTATAAATCTGTATTTCTATTTGCTGCACTGCCACTGAAGTTGAGACTTCCACATGAAAAGGGATCATGAAGTAAAGCCCTTGTCAACCATACTAAGGCAAAGTAAGAGCCCCTAAAATATGCTATGTCATGCCAAGCTTGTGCCTAATCCATATTTCACATATTTCATAGTTCCTTCACTGTGGCTGGGTCAAAATCCTGGAATTCCCTCGCTAATAGCATTGTGGGTCAATGTACAGCAGGAGAACTGGAACAGTTCAAGAAGGCAGTTCACCACCAC